TACATTTACATGACTTTATGCCATGATTTTCCATAATACGACAGAAAAAGATGGGAATGAGCATTTCCATCTTATATGTTTATTTATTAATAGAAAATATCCATGCGGGAAAAATTATACAGAATAGATTTGAATTTATTCTCATGCTTAGAAGTTGAAGAACAGACTTTTTTCTAGTGTCACACTAGAAGTTGGTATTGAATGTAGCTAATGAATTTAACTTGTGATCTTTAATTCAAAAGTAAATGTTAATTTTCAAGTTTTTCAATTAACAAGTCATCAAAATGCCCTGACCAAATGTTGAATTGAAATTAGTTTAGACTTAAAATGAAAAAATGCTGAGTTATGAAATGTAAACTTTATACACCCCATGTTGATGTTTGTTATCTACTATATGATGCTTTATGGCATCAAATATTTTCAATGCTTTATCAGTTTTTGCATTTAATATTATAATATCAGCATGTCTCATTTTTCTTTGCCTTCAAGTAATCAGAAGCATTTCATTAATGTTGAATGCCAGTTCTCTTTTCTGAAATTAATGCATTTAAAATAAATTCCACAGCACATGGGAATGATCCTCACTCACCCAGAGACTGCTCCTTATTCTGTGTCATTTTGAATACAGTTTCACTATCCCTGCAGAAACCAATGCAAGAAGTGTAGAAGGGGTTATACTTGCGAGAGGAATAGCAGATAAAGTTCAAAGTTTAGGTTGTAAAGACAAGGCCCAACCATTTACTGGGAGTTAAGTCAATTTTAGAAAATGGAGATCTTTTATCAGGAGGTATGAAGAAATGTAAGAGAAGGTTTTACAAAGTTAATCCAAAGGAAGTCTAGAGAGTGTTCTAAAACAATTAGCATCTCAGCGTGAATCTTCACCAGGTATTCCAAGAAATCCTTCAAAATTAAATAGCAAAGAAATAAATTAGGTAGGCTGTTTGTATTTTGTTTTGGGAAGGGACGTATGGAACACAGCAGACTCACAGCACTATAGTCTATCTCCGTCACTTTCAACATATGTGACCCCGTGTCAGCACAGAATTGTGCTTTGTCTCCTTTGGAACTTTGGCCATCATGACCTGGGAGCTTGTTGCAAGAGCAGAACCTCAGGCTCCACCCTTGACCAGCTGACCCAGAACCTGCACTTTAAAAGATCCTCAGAACCACAGGCACAGTAAAGCCTGAGAAGCATTTCTTTAGAAAGACTGCGGATGCCTGTCATCGTATTAATCTTTATAGAAAATCCCATTTCTTTTACTCAGGAGAAACTTCTAGTTTTAAAAGTAAATGCTCTCTCTTAAAAATATCAGTTTATAAAAAGCAGCAGCTACAATTCTGTCTCTTTCTATGTATTACAACATCCAGATGCATCAGATTTGCGGGTGGGGGAAGGCCACTCTAAATCAACGGTTTTCAAAGAGTAATCCCTCTACCAGTAGCATTAGCTTTGCCTGAGAACTTGAATTGGAATCTGTGTTCTTACAAGCCCTCCTGGTGGTTTTGGTGCACCCTGAAATTTGGGACCGGTTTTCAAACTTAATTTTTCTTAAGAGTCACCTGGGAAGTTTGTTGCAACACTGGGTTCCCAGATCCTGGCCAGATCTATTGGATCAGAAGCTCTGATGAGTGCAGCCAGGAGATATGCATCTTAAGTTAGCACCCACATAATCCGGACGCAGGTGATGAGAGTCTGCCCCGAAACCTGAGACGCAGAGCAGCAGTTCTCAGGCTTGGCTGCACGTGAGAATCATGTGAAAACTAAGAATCCTGATGCCGAGGCCACAGTTTGGGCCGATGAAGTCAGAATCCTGGAGATGGGACCCAGGCATCAGCGTTATTTTATCAAGTGACGTCAAGGTGCACTTAAGTTTGAGAATCAGTGCTTTCAGAAACTATCAGGCAAGAATGACAGCAGGTGGCAGTGAGGCAGGGCAAAGAAGGTAGGCCTTGAGAACCAGCCCTGGGGCCTGAGGGCAGTTACAGTCTCTCCAAATATCTGTTTGTTTCAGCTGGATAGTGGGGGACTGCCCAAAGATTAAAAAGGAATTGCAATGTGCCTGGCAGTTCCCATCCCTTTATTAAGGGAATCCATTAGGATAATTTTACTATGGTTTACATGCCACAGAAGTTTCTTCCACACTTGGAAAAAAGGGGGAAAAAAAAAAGAGCGCCAACACCTTTTGTAGTATCATACTACAACACTCTCACTCTTCTTATGATATGTTTGCTGGAGAATAAAAAATGACTTGAGGCTGTGTGACTCAGTTAGCAGTTATGCCATGAAAGGGCGTCCATGCTTTTCTCTCCAGCTTTACCTACCTGCTTAGAAAAAAGCCATACCTATAAATTTTCACCTTTGGGTGTTCTTTGTCGCGTTTCTAGCACCAATTCCATTTCCACTGGTCTTTCCACCAGGAAAGATCTGCCATCTGGTGGTCCAATGAGGTAATGGCAGGCTATGTAGTGGCTTCAGAGAGAAGACGTGTTGCACACAGCTCAACGTAACGCAGAGACCAGAGTCGCTCTACAGCTGCCTGCAAAGGACAGACGCTACAGCAAGCCTCTAAGGAGTCTCACACTGGCATTTTCTCTCTTTATGACAAAGTAGAACTTATTTTCTAACCAAATAACTAATTGTTTTGTTACTAATATCTCTTTAAAAAGTATAATCTGGCATCTTTTCTGAGCAAGTAAATTTGTATGAAAGTTCTTTACAATATAACAAAATGATCATTCCATATGTAAAGTGGTCAAGAAAGTTACGTGTCTAGGAAACTGGTAGTTCTAGCATTCTCATCATTAAAATGTTTTTTTTTAAATGGCATGCAAAGGAGATTCATTTGAAGTTCATCTGAGAAATACTAGCTTGCACTAAATTTCATCTTTCAGCCAATAGCTTAAAAGACAATAAGCTAGTACTGATTTAAATGTCATTGCAACAGTTTTAAGAAATGTCTGATAGCTAATCCTGTGCAATTAAGACAACCCCCCACCCGCCACCCCTTGCTAAGAGCTGCACACTCAAATCAGTGTCCTCTCTCCTAGAATGGGCGGCCGAATCCACGTCTACCCAAACGGATCCCTGTTTATTGGGTCAATAACAGAAAAAGATGGCGGTGACTACTTGTGTGTGGCAAGAAACAAGATGGGGGATGACCTGATACCGATGCACGTTAGCCTGAGACTGAAACCTGCCAGAATCGACCACAAGCAACATTTCAAAAAGCACGTGTTCTATGGGAAAGATTTCCAAGTCGACTGCAAGGCTTCTGGCTCGCCACTGCCCGAGATCTCTTGGAGTTTGCCCGATGGAACGATGATAAACAGCGCGATGCAAGCTGATGACAGCGGCCACAGGGCCAGGAGGTACACCCTGTTCGACAATGGAACCTTGTACTTCAACCAAGTTGGCATAGCAGAGGAAGGGGATTATACGTGCTATGCCTGGAACACTCTCGGGAAAGATGAAATGAAGGTCCACCTGACAGTCATAACAGCTGCCCCGCGGATCAGGCGGGGTGACAAGACCAGCACGAGAATCAAGGCTGGAGACATGGCCGTCCTTGACTGTGAGGTCATTGGGGAACCCAAACCGAAAATATTTTGGTTGCTGCCTTCCAATGACATGATTTCATTCTCTAAGGATAGGTTCACATTTCATGCCAACGGGTCTTTGTCCATCAACAAGGTGAACCTGCTCGATTCTGGAGAGTATGTGTGTGTGGCCCGAAATCCCAGTGGGGATGACACCAAAATGTACAAACTGGACGTTGTCTCCAGACCTCCATTAATCAATGGTCTGTATATAAACAAAACTGTCATTAAAGCCACAGCCGTGAGGCATTCCAAAAAACACTTTGACTGCCGAGCCGAAGGGACGCCATCTCCTAAAATCATGTGGATCGTGCCGGACAATCTCTTCCTCACAGCCCCATACTACGGGAGTAGAATCACCGTCCACAGGAATGGAACCTTGGAAATCAGGAACGTGAGGCTTTCAGATACAGCCGATTTTATCTGTGTGGCTCGGAACGAAGGAGGAGAGAGTGTGCTGGTGGTACAGTTAGAAGTACTGGAAATGCTGAGAAGACCGATGTTCAGAAATCCATTTAATGAAAAAACAGTTGCCCAGCTCGGAAAGCCCACAGCACTGAATTGCTCTGTTGATGGAAACCCACCACCTGAAATAATTTGGATTTTACCAAATGGCACACGATTTCCCAACGGACCACAAAATTCTCAGTATCTGATAGCAAGCAACGGTTCTTTTATTATTTATAAAACAACGCGGGACGATGCAGGAAGATATCGCTGTGCGGCAAGAAATAAAGTTGGTTATATTGAGAAACTGATCATCTTAGAAATTGGCCAGAAGCCAGTTATTCTCACTTACGCACTAGGAACAGTGTACTGCATCAGTGGAGAATCGCTGTCATTGCACTGTGTGTCTGATGGAAGCCCTAAGCCCAATATCAAATGGACCGTACCAAGTGGATCTGTAATAGATAGGCCTCAAATTCATGGAAAATACCTATTGCATGAAAATGGCACCTTAGTCATCAAAGAAGCAACAGCTTATGACAGAGGGAACTATATTTGTAAGGCTCAAAATAGTGTTGGCCATGCCCTGATCACTGTTCCAGTAATGGTTGTTGCCTTCCCTCCCCGAATCACCAATCGCTTACCCAGGAGCATCCTCGCAAGGACAGGAGTGGCCGTGCGGCTCCACTGTGTTGCCCTGGGGGTCCCCAAGCCGGAAATCACATGGGAGATGCCTGACCACTCCCTGTTCTCAATGGCCAATAGAGGGAGGACACACGGAATGAGGCCTTTTCACCCACGAGGCGCCCTGGTCATTCAGAATCCTCAGCCCTCGGATTCTGGGATTTACAAATGCGCGGCCAAGAATCCACTTGGTAGTGATTACGCAACAACTTATATTCAAGTGATCTGACATGAAGTAAAATTGACTGAACAAAGTCAACATCGGGACAGAGTTTATTTTTTGGAAGAAGTTTAATCAAAGGCAGCCATAGGCATGTAAATGAATTTGAATACATTTACAGTATTAAATTTATAATGGACATGCAAAAAAAAAAAAAAAGACTTGTAAATAAATGCATTATGAACTGATACTGATTTCTTTAATGGATCTCAAAACAAACTTTTTAACTTAAGGCACTTTTATTTTGCCAACAAATAACAATGAAGGTGAAGGGAGACTGTCCACCGTAAGCTAGCAAACACCAAGGTACCCGCGCTGCCCACTAGAGCGGACCCTTCCTCCACTGCCAGGTGCCTAGTGTCCACCTACTACCAAGGTTACAAGCTTGGCGCTGAGGACAGAGACACAAAAAAAATTAAATGTGCAGTCTCAATGTAAATTTGCCATCTCGATGTATAAATATTTTGTGGTTGGTTTATAAATAATTTACTAAAACCTACAGAAAACAAGCACTGAGCTGTTTTGATTACGATTCACCATTTTGAGCACACTGACAATTTTCACTGATGGGGAATACAAAAACGTTTTAGTGACTGCATTTAAAAATCAATGCAGGCTAACTTTTTCACGTGTAAAAAGCAACTTAATCCCTGCACATCATAAAGTCTGGAAAGGGGGTTGATTACCTTTTGTCCAAATAAACCCATGGAAAAGGTTTTAAAAATACAATGAAACTTCCTTATAACTTCAAAACCTATTTCAGGCACCCCTGGGTTTAGAACTGTTTACAAGGAGAGTTTTCTGAGGAGGAACCATTGCTTTATGAGCGTTTATTTCATTGTGACAATCCTCTATGTGGCAGGAAAATGTTTGAGAAAATCTAGATCTAATACATGTAATGAAGTTTCACTGTACTTAATTTGGTCAACCCTACAGAAAATGCTTTTTGTTAATTCACTGAATTTATTTATATTACATGCTTAATTCAACCTGAATTAATCTGGGGGACATTAAGATTGATCTTTTCTAATTCTAGCAGCTGGGAAGATTTTCCAGTGTAATTTCTCCAGCATCTACTCGAATATTCACCTATTATTTAAGAATAATTATAGGAGCTTTAATAAGCAGAAAAGAAGAAGAACTTGCCAAAGGTCTTGCTCGGATAATTCAGCACACAAAACCAATGGCTAGGTCAGCCCCTCCCAGTTAACTATCTGAAACATCCTGGGAGCTCGCTGCATCATTTCCATCACACCAACTTTCAGCTGGCCCCACCTGAGGGGGGGACTTACTTCTGGGCCAAGAGGCGTGAATAAAATGACAAATGTAACCCCCGTTAGGAATGAGCCTGCAGTGCAAATAGGGTGCCTAGGGCTTCTTACATCGAGCTGCACTGACTTCAAAGCCTTATCTTTAAGGGTATCTGGGGTCTCCATTTTCTCCGATGATGACTTCCTTTCTATCTCATCGAGCAAATTACCAGGTCTGCCAAAGGATAGGGCTTTCCCTGTGATCATCTTAATATGAATTAATGCATTTGCTAAAAAAGAATCCTCTCAGGATAGAGGATTAAGTCGGAGGAAACATGATAGGACTAGATTAAAAATTCCAGTTGTTCTCTTTATAATGCACAGGGGAAAACCAGCTTTAGGTTTTTCCTCACTTTCCATAGAATCGTTAAATTATAGGGCCTTACCATGACTTTGCTTCCTCAACTAAAGGAAAAAGACAACAGAAAAAGTATACCCCACAGCTTTCATGTGCAAAATGATTAATAAATTAATTTCACTAACTTCTGCAAAATATAAAGTGCATATAAATGCTATGCAATTATAACACTCATTCTGGAAACAGTATTACTGCTGTTTGCAATATTGAGCTACAAAAATATATGGCTCAAACTGAAAAGTGGCATTTTAAATGCCAATAACTCTTGAAAAGAAAGAAAACAATCAGGAGAGAACACGACTCACTAGGCACGACATTCACATTTCGGTGGTTTTGCCAAGGCAGTCCTTATATGAATATATTACTTTGAAGAAAAATAACTTCATGAACTCTAAGTATGATTCTCAAGAGGGAAAAAAATCTGACATACAAAACCAGCTGAAATGTAAAGATTCATCTTCTGAAAGCAGATAGAATATAGTAATTTAGTGAAAAGGATGGTCTTTAATGTTTTGGCAAAGTCGTTTCCAGCCCAGAGTAAACACGAAATGAGCAGGCTGGAGGGAAAGAGTTTCACAGTGTACAAAGCGGTTCACACGGATGCTGCCACAGCAAAGTAAGCGGACGTGTATCTGAGGTCGTTTGCATGAGTCAAACTTTGCAATGAGTAACTCACCTAGGAAGATATAAATTATTTATATAATGATTTGCAAAAGAAGTGATCTACTGAAGTTGTACTAGCTACATTTAAAAAAAGGAGTTCTACATGGTTGCTCATTATAGACAAATCTATTCACAGTATGCTTGACTACATTACATGGAAAATCATATGGCAAAAGAAAATGAATTAACACAGAACATGGGAAAATATCCCCCACATATGTTTTAAAATGCCCTGCAATTCTCACATTCAAAATTTTATGCATCTAAATCTAAAAAAATATTATATGGAATACTCTTAAGTTCCACAAACTGATAATAATTTACTGTATTTTTTACTCTAATAGGAGCAAATTACCACATACTTGAACAAAGTTAAAATAGTTACTATTTCTTTATAATAAATTTGATGTATAATTTACTTTACTTGTGCTTTTTGCACCAATTTATAAATACAGTATATGCAATACACAACCAAGACTGACACCAACATTAATAATTAAGTTCAAAATAGCAAATACTTACCATACAAAATAAACAGCAAATACATCTCTTATGAAAGCCAGAGGCTTCTGGACTTGGGGGCCAGATTCTCTGGGAACCGTGTCAAGGTTGAGCGCTGTGCAATCTGAGGCCAGCTGCGAGATTTTTTTTTCTCAGTTGGCATAAGGTTCAGGAGAACCCAAACTGGACAGAGTCATTTTTGCCAAATCTGGCAATAAATAATTGGAACAATTCCACTGTGATTCGCTCGGGCCTTTAAAATTTACTCGTTCTACCTTCACAAAGACTCTGGCCAATGACCTTGCCACGGACACCAAATTCAAGCGCGGCTACTTCTAACAGGCTTCCACACACCTTGGGGTGACTCTCATGGAAGCCCTGGTTTAAGTTCTTGGTCTAAGAAGCTTAAGGACTAAGCAACAATCTGTTTCAGCACCTTTTGACCACAACAAAAGCAAAGAAAAACCCTACATAAATAAGAACAAAGTTTATAAAGTGCTTATGAAATTACAAACATTTCAAATGAGAGCAATGCGAATCAATGTCCATTTCACCATCAAAGGTGAATGCTGAATAAATGGGTCACTTCCGGGTCAAGATCGGACATGCCTTTCAAATCAGTAGTTTGGTCCGGCACAGTTTGCAAAAATAAATCTTCATCATTAATGAATACATAAATATGTTAAATCCACCATAATTCATTCTTTCTATAACTATGAGATTGAAAAAAAAAAGCACCAATTTCGAAAGGTCTGCTACCACACTCTTCCTGGAGTAGGCCCTCATGATCCACATTGTTAAACCTACTTCAGAGTTGAATGCAACACCACCAAACCCCATCTCCTCCATTACTTTCTGTTGAAACACCTTCGTATGAAATGAAGCCTAAAACGTAGGAAAACTTCAAAGAAATAAAAGAACCAAGGGACATTTCTAAAGACGACTAATGCATTAAACTTGATTTTCTGTTTTTCAGTGCAAACACCAAACTTCACGTCTCGTCCTCTTCTGGGGTCAGAAGTGTGAAGGGTGCCCATAGGGAGCCACTCCTTGCTGTGGCTGGTTACCTATTGAGAAAAATACATTCACATGAGACTGCAGATGCAAGTTAGGCCACAGACAGACAGACGCTACTCCTGTTGTCGCTGCTCTCAGAGCCAGCCTCAGGAACGGGGATCAGGCTGGCCGGCGAGCACAGCGCTGCCTGGAGCCCTGGGAGGCAGGGTCTAAAGATGGCAGCTGAATTCATTCCGCAGAGGTGCCAGCACAAGGTCCTAGGAGGAGCATAAGCCCATCCAAAGTCTCTCTCTGAACTAAGAAACAACAGCAGCAACATATGAAAATAAAACATGGAGAATTCTCACACTTTCATTAACTCTCCCAGTCAGAGGGTTAACACGGACATCAGAATAGGTGAGAAGTACTTGAAACCGGACAGTTTTCTGCAAACAGCCGTAAGATACACGAGAACTGACAAGAGTGTATGTGTGTATGAGGGCGGCTCTGCGTGTGCTGACTCAAGTGTGTGGCTATGCATACAGGTACATGTGCACACACAAACAGAGGAAAAATAAAGAGCAGGCAGTAGGTCCAAGAATACGATACAGGCTCAGCAGCCGCTACTAGTGCCTACACAACTCTGGGGGATTATTCAGTTCCAGAGGCCCACGCCATGGGCTACGATCTAAAAGGAGCCCTCTGGAGTTGTGCCCTGGGCAGCTCATCATGGACGCCGTTCTTCAACAAAGGAGGTGGCATAACTGCTCTCATCAGGCAGCAGAGTGTGCACCGTGCTTCAGAAGTGGGCTCTGGGGGAGGCCGTGCGAGCTCCAGGCCCAGCCGTGCCCTTCCTGTCGGCTGAAGAACCTTGGGCTCTGCCTCAGCCGTGTCCTCGTCTACACACAGGGACAGTCACAGCCCCTCCTCTCATGGGGTGGGCTAGGAATCAAGGGAATTAACACACATAAGGTCGAGCGCCTGGGCCAGGAAGGGCCTCCCTAAATGACGGCTTAAAACCAACAGAAAAGCTGCATTCTGTGAGCACCGGGAAGCAGGAAACAAGAGAAGATGTGCTCCCGAAATAGGGGCCACTACATAAAAACCACAGGGACTACTTCTAAACACCAGCAAAACCTAAAATATAAACACGTCATCTCCGCCTTAAAATTATATTCTCTCTGTAGCCATGTGAAAATATGAACTCTGGAATTAATGAAGCACAATGAAATTTTAGCCACACGTTTGTTTCACAGACCATCCTCATGAAACAGCACTTGGAAAAGAAGACTGATTTACATGATTTAACTGAAATTTAATGAGGCTATAAGGAAAATATTAGAAGAAAACAAAAAAAAAAGATCTTGGTCAGGCCCTGGCAGAGACACGAGGTCCAAGAGGAGCGTTCCCCCTGCCAGGAAAGCCACGCAGACAGCAGCCAGCAGGGAATCAGGACTAGAATCAAGCTGCCCTCGGCCTGAAACGGACCCTTTTCCTCACGACATCCCAGGAGACCCACGCCACAGCCTGCAGGACTGGCTGCTCCTCACTCAGCCCCTCAGGCACGTAACCTGAGACCCAGGAGGAAATGCTAGCCACGCTCCTCGCTCCTCACCACGTGGAGGAGAAACTACCCGACCCAGGGAACGGTGGCAGGGCTGGCACCAGAATGCAGCGCTCCTGACTGCCAGGCCATTACTCTCTGCATCACAGCGGGCTGGCCCCCATTTCTAAAGGAACCTCCCGTCCTGTGGCCCCAGCACAGGGGTGGCCCCATTCCTGAGAGCATGCTGCTGGCATCTAGATAAGGTCGGATGAAACGGGCCGTTAGTACGCGCTCTGGAGAGGCGGCACAGGGTAGAAGGAAACACATCACACTGACCTAACAGGCAAGGCTCCTGGAGAAACACTGCCTGTGCTGTTACAGGTTCAGATTTCTTGAGTGGCTAGCAGGAGGGTAGGACGGCGAGGTGGTAAGTGCAGTCAGGCCGTAGCGACCGGCCTCTCTCCATCTGAGACCTTTGGGGGGCCACCCCTCCTCCTTCATCAGCGATCTTGAGGGCACCAGCTGAGCTGTGCTCTGAACCTTCCGGCTTTATAAAGAGGCACCCGCAGTTCCACAGGGGTCCCCCAAGTGAAAAGACACATTTCCAGATACAGACAGAAGCAATAGGAAAACATCTTCATGAACTCAAGCCAAAGACCAGGGCTTTTCCAGGAAAAGCAGCATTTAAACCAAAACCAAACCCAAACAAAACAAACGGAGAACAGCCTGGATAAACTGAAGAGAATACGGTCCCAAGGGAGACAGCACAGGTTTTGAGGGCCCCCCCCCCCGGGCGTCTGGCTGGCTTGCTGTTTTTGATTTCCCGGGAGGGGAGCCGCCTGTTCGGAGACGGGGGATACTTACTGGAAAGCTGCTTCTGGAGCTGCCGCACCAGGGCTGCCGTCTGCTGCTGCTGCTGTGTCTGCTGCAGGCCTGGCCTGGGGAACTGTAACGGTGACAGGAGAGAGGGGGGACATCAGCCCGCGTGCCCAGCACAGACAAGAACACAGACTAACCTGGGCCATGGTCTGCAGGGCACTTTACATCCGCCACGGCCAGTGTGCACACGTCAATTCTCATCCTCACCCCGGGGTACGTCTGAACCATTCTCGGAGTGGCTCCTCAGCATGTATCTGAGGGGCCCTGGTGAAGAAGTCCACGTCGAGAGGTGGGCAGGGGCTCCACACCCTTGTCATTGCACCGTCACCGCTGGCTCATTACAGTCACAATACCATAAACCGTTTTCAAGAGCAGAACGACAGCTCTCTGGTCGGGTTTGTTCGAGCACCACAGCCCTTCCCTTGTGTGAATGGAGACCAGCGTGGTGAGCAGGGCAGGGCCCCAGGCCCAGGGCTCCTCCAGGACCACGCCCTCCCACTCCATGGAGGACGAAGGTTGGCCAAGCCTGCTTGTGGCATGGTGTGGCCAGGGCAGGGTTAGGGCGAGCCGCACGGGGCACTAGGGCTCGAACTTTGAGGAGGCGCTCCCCTCCAGGACTGCGCAAGCACAGGCACCATGGGAGGCCCATGGGGGCCCCGGTTCTAACCCTTGATACAAGAAACTGTGGGAATTCTTCCAAAGAGGAAAAAGAATCTAGCCGCTAGAAGCAAAATTACTTTCCATTAAAATCATGGGTAGTGCTGATTTACTTTTCCCCCTCAACCTTCAAATGTCAGGCTGCCACTCTTTTCTTCCTTCCCTTCTTTCCGCCTGGCTTACTATTGCTCTAACAGAGGAAGTGTGCTGCTACAAGGCCACGCAGGAAGTGGGCTGGCTGCTCCCCACTCGCCTCCAGACCCATTTACTGTTCATGACTCTGTGCTCACGGGGGCACCTGCATGGCGTGTGTCAGCAGACTGGCCCCCTTGCCTTCCAACCTCTGGGTGGGGAGGGGGCACGCCTGGGGATCGCATGCCAGAAGGACAGTGAAATTGGGTGGGAACAGAGTAAAGTTTTGTTTTTGACAAGCTCCTTCATAACGGGTCCGTGCTGGTGGCACACATCGCACTCTGGGAAGACCACACTCTCTCAGTGGCCCTCTCCATTCCTCTCCCTCTTCTTGCCCCTCTGGGCCTAGGGGTACTAACTGATTCCAGCCTGGGTGTTTCATGATCCCTAGTGAGTTTCCCTTCACCCTGCCCATACCTCTATAAATCATCTTTTTAAAAAACCTCAATTACCCAATATGAGTGCAACATCTATTTCCTCCTCAGGGGTTGCCAATGTGGCTTAAAATAGCCCAGAATTAGAGGTAGGATTGCCAGATTTAGCAAATGAAAATACAGAATGCCCAGCTAAATGTCAATTTCAGATCGACAAATGAGTACTTAGTTTTTTTTTTTTTTAAAGATTGGCACCTGGGCTAACAACTGTTGCCAATCTTTTTTTTTTTCTTTTTCTGCTTTATCTCCCCCAAACCCCCCTGTACACAGTTGTATATCTTAGTTGCATGTCCTTCTAGTTGTGGGGTGTGCGATGCCGCCTCAACGTGGCCTGACGAGCGGTGCCATGTCCGCACCCAGGATCCGAACCCTGGGCCGCTGCAGCGGAGCACGCGAACTTAACCACTAGGCCACGGAGCCAGCCCCCAGTACTTAGTTTTAAGTATGTCCCAAATATTGCATGGAACAAATATCACATTCAGTATAAGTATGTCCCATGTAATATTTAACACAATTCTACGAGGAATTATTTATTGTTTACCTGAAACTCAAATTAATTGTGAGTCCTGTATTTCATCTGGCCGCCCTAATATGGGCATTTCTGGGCTGATTCTTTAAAGCTGAGTATCTGGCGGGACACCTGGCCAGGTGCTTCTCTCCCTCTAGAAGTGAGTGATGTGGGGCTCATCTGCCAACGCGTCCCTAGGGCCCAGCAGTGCGAGGCACAGGTGGGCGCTCAGTAAACACGAACGGGACGACTCCCTCAGAAGGGCCTTCAATTCCCAAACTTTCCTGAACAGGAAAAATGTGGCTCCACCACGGTCACGATTGTCCCTGACACAAAGCGGTGAAACAGCACACTGCCAGTTCTTTTTTCTTGACCAAATTAAGAGGGAAAACAAAAACTCATCTTTCACGGAGGCGGAAATGCCAGTAAAATAATGCTCTGTTTTCTATTCCATGGTCTCTGTGCTTATTTGGAAACAGCACCCTACTCATGTAACAAAACCTGACATGGCACCAGGTTCGGGGCAGCGTTGTAGACGTGACGTGGACACAGCAGCCCCCGTCGTCCTGACAAGGTGACGCTGACCCTCACCCTCTCGCCTGGAGTCCTTGGGGCAGGGTGTTTTGGATTGAGTGCACCTACAGGTTACTCTGCAACATTCGTGATATGCAGACCAAGCAAGGTCCAGGACAGCACTGTAATCAAACACATTCAACCTCCGCAGCGAGACCCAGGAATAGCCACATCAGGTAAAACAGATGACAAGAGCTCCAGGTTCGTTCAGGCCAACTTCCGCTGCCACATGAAGTCAGGTCAGGGTTGGCTGTTCAGTGAGTTACAAAGAAAACGTCCGTTTCGAAGGGCACTTGAATTTTGGAAATGAATGTCAGGGACTGTGAACCTTTAACTCTGTTCTTCTCACTTTACAGACGGGGAAACTGAGGCTCTGCGGGATGAAGTCACCTGCTTGTGGTTCCTGTCAGTCCTGGAATTCAGAGTGAGCTCTCCGGACCCAGAGCTCACGACCGTCACCACATCCCAGGGCTGTCCTTAATGGGAAATACTAGCTTCCAAATATTAACTACTTGGAAATAATCACAGATTCTAAATAGTTGGCTGCAAAGTTGTCTAATCTTAGCTGATTAAGGTACACAGTGCATAACCTTTATTCATTCAACAAAAACTTGGCTGCCTTCTTTGTGTTCATTTAAAGTCAGCTTCAAATAGAGTAATTCACAGAATGAGACACTGTAGTGATCGTCTCAGATTGGACATTGTGAGGAGCCACAGCAGAAACTAGGTACCTGAGAAGCAGTGTGTGTGTGCATGCTCATGTGCTTGTGTGCACGTGTGTGTGCACTGGGGAGTGGCGGGTGGGCTGCTACGTGGCCTAAGAAAGAACATCCCTGAGGGGACCCCAAGACTATTGGGGTATCTGCCAGGTCAGCATCATTTTCCTCGTAATGCTAAGGCATGCTTTGCTTTTCTCACTCTCACTCTCTGGTGAGGGCACAGGGCGGTTTTCCAGGGGCCACACCACGCGTGACACTGCACTGACTGCCTGTCTTCTATTAACGCAGACGTTCAAGAAGATTTCCAAAATGGAAAACGATGTCATTCTTCTAATTTTTTACTTTGAAAAATACACCTATTTTTTCATAAAAATGTTATTTCTGTTAGTATGCAATGAGTTTATTTTAGAATAAATTACTAAATGAATATCGTTTATACTTACGTTTTAATTTCTGATATGGTAAATGTTAGTAGACACACGAAAGCTCTTCAGTTCCATGATGTTTTTGACTGTGAATGGGTTCTGAGGCCAAGAAACTTGAGACCAGCTACAGCCTTCTCAGCTGGGGCGTTTCACCACCATTTCTTCCAAGGCCCCCCGACACTGATTGCAGCTCGCCCCCACCTGTATGTGGCTGGAGCAGGCAGCCCCCACCTGCAGTCTCCCTGTCTCTGGAGCATCTCCTGCTGGGCAAGGAGAGGGCACCCCGTCCCCCACAAGGAACCTCACTGCTGAGCATTTCAAACCCTGTCACTGAACTCCTGCCAGAAACGGGCCTGTATATAGCTGAGGAAGCAGAAAGCCCTCCGGGGGATGGAGAGTCACCCTCCAAGGTTCCTCTCCAGACTTCCTCAATTAGACTTTCTCAGGTAAATTCGCTGGAAATCTGTCTTTTTAAAGGGCTCCCCCTGGTGGCCTCATGGTTGCCTAGGTTTTAGAATCATCCCTGTGGGGAACTGGAACTTTCAGTTTACCAAAACAGGTCAATAAATAAGTCAACTGAGGTTTACCAGAAGTCCTAAAAGTCACAGTCTGTGCATGTTTAGCATTCCCTGCTTAAAAGTGATCAATGAAGAGGGAAAGATTTTCCTGGACTCTCTCCAGATGGGAGATGAGCAGGGTTTCTCTCACCTCTGTGCCTTTGCAGACGTTAATCTCTCCTCCTAGAACACCCTCCCTCCCCCTTTCTGCCTGCCCTACACCCTCCTGAAACTCTACTCATCCTTCCAAGATCAGCTCAAGCTATCACCTGTTCTCTCAAGCATTTGAAGACACACATTTATTCAAGAAGTGTTCATCTTTCTGCTCAGTCATCACTAAGGAACAAAAATGCATTACTAAGTAGTAATTTCTATTTAAATCAACATCACTCAGTCTTCTCTGTCTCAGAAAAGCTGACTGCTTAGGGCAGGTCCTTCCCGCAGGAGCAGCAGATGCTGGCGGTCCTGACCAGCAGAGGTGGCTGCCGCTGGGCAAAGGTCCTGCCTTCTGAACCGTGTTTTCCTTTACTAACACATAACGTGCAGGGTTTTTTTCTTCACTGCTATGACATTTGACAAATGAGTCATTCAACAATAGTTATCCAGATCCAGGCACTTTCCTGGGTTCCGGGGACACCAAAGTGAGTAAAACACTGTCTCTGCCTCCTGACAGCTAGGAGCTTCCTGCTCTAGCAAGAACCCAGGAGCACACACCCGGTGAGCAAAAGAACAAAGCACTGAGGCGACGTTCTTCCAAGCCTGCGCTGTCCACTGACAGAGTCCACAGCCACTTTCAGGTCCTCTCACGAATGGACACAACCCTTCATTCATCAGTAGCACTGAGCCTGGCCAGAAATACTGGCGCTCGGGCATCTCCACTCGCAGGTGGTACACTCAGAGAGGACCAGCAGCCGATGGATTCCAGAGTGTTTAGTACCCAATTATCTGCAAGTTAACGATTAACTTGCATGTAGTCATTTTTTTGTTTTTGATCTGCACAGT